CTAGAATAAATAGCCTATGGAGGTTGTGGAATCTCCATCACTGGAGATTTTAAAGAGCAAGTTAGACAAACATCTGTCAGGGATGGTTTAGTAATACTTAGCCCTGCCTTGAGTGCAGGGACTGGACTAGATGACCTCTTAAGGTCCCTTCCAGCTTCTAGGAGGAAAGAAGAACTTTCTTTTGCAATCCTTTCTGCTAGAGGGTGATAGCCTCCCACACGAGGGGCATGCCCAGCTCCCCTGGTTTCAAGAAGTGCCTCTCCTGCAAGGAGTCGATTCCTTAATGGACAGACACTCTCACTGTGTCTGATGCCTGGAAGAGTCCGATATCCCTCAGAAGTGCTCCCTCTGCCACTCGCTAAAGCTGAGATCTCGCAAGAACCGGGCGCTGAAGTTAAAACTCCTCCTTATGGAGAAGGCACTTCAGCCTCCAGGGTACTCATGTGCTGACTTTGGATCATCCCCAGAGCCTTCAACTTCAAAGGGGTTAGAGTTGCTGAAAAGACTAGCATATTCCCCTTGTAAAGGCTCGAGAAAAACGGCTCCAAGCCTCCAAACTGAGTCTTTGGCCAGCCAGAGAGTTTCCTCAGTGCGATTGGCCAACTCAGCAATTTGATCTAGTTTCCCCTTTTTGTAGGACTTTGAGTTTCTTCTTCTTTTATTTTTTATTTATTTATTTATTTTATTTTATTTTTTAAACTTTTTTTTTTTTTTTTTTTTTTTACTTTATATTATTTTTTAGTGTCCTCTAAACACCCCTGGGAGAGGGTGGGGAATCCCCCCAGACAGGACGGGAAACGTAAACTAAAATTCTCTCTCTTCTTTTTCTTTCTTTTTTTTTTTAATCTCAACCGGTAAAAAGAAAACACTAACTTTTAAGGAGAACAAAACAAACAAACAATTACTATATATGCTAATGATGCAGATAAGGAAGGACAACTGCTCGCTCCTTGCTCCCTTGTGAGCCAAAAGTGATTGAGAAGGAACTGAGTGGGGGTCGCCTGCCCAGTGCTAGATAGTCTCGAGGTAGACTACGAGGGAGGGAGAGCGCACATGCAGGCTGAACGGACACTGCTACCTAAAATCTCCGATTAGAGGCACAGGGGTGCAGATACAGAGCACTGATAGGGACACTCCTTGAAGAAGAGTCTGGTATTAACAGGGTGTGGCCAGAAGCTACAGTAGCATATTCACCAGAGCCTTGCAGAGACAGTTGGGCCCTGAGGCCCTTTGATAAAGGGTTGGGGAACACCAGGTTGCATAGAAGAGAAGAGCCCTTGGGGCAAGAGGGAAGGCGCGTGGCTGGAGAGGGGGAGATTGGAAAACTGGAGTGAGCACATTTTCTGCCCACCCTTAACTGTCCAAATCTTGCTGTAACGTCCATGGGAACAGGTGGCCCATTTCTGTATTTCAAAAATCAAATTACCCTAAAGATTACAGTATTACCTTGTCAATTCACCTCCCCTATGCCTAGGATGAGATGATGTGTTGTAGGGTAGCCCTTGTTTAAAGTAGCAATCTGAACAGGCCCTGTCTTTATGATTTGTAAATACTTCATTATGACCAAGTGCCAGATTTGAAGAGAGATGTAAAAGTTATACACAGTAGCAATGAAACCTGCAGTCAGTGATACTGGCACAGGTCCAAATTTAAGGGGACTCAGAAGAGGTCAAACTTATATTAAACAGGCACATTTTACAAGCATGTATTTTCAAGCTTGACCCCAACCAATTTCCTCCCTCTTCATAAGAGTGACTATTTTGGAATGCCCTTGATGGTGAAAAACTTAAACAGCCCTCCTGAATGAAGGTATGGCAGGTTCACATCAGAAGCATTAATTGCAAGCCTTACATCCTGGATTTGTTGTTTGATTGCCCAGTTTAAGAGCAAGGGATTTTAACTAGATTGCAGCCTCAGACTGGGAAAAGCAGTAAAAAAAAAAACCCAGTAGGGGAATATCTTAAATATTAGGGGAATAGTCTTTGTGGAGGTGACAGTGGGAGACAGACAGAGGAGTCAAACATGGGGGCTATCAGCCGTGACAAAGTCTGCTACTAAACACCTCGAAGAGAAGCATGCATGTACCTTTAGATACAAAATACATTCATGAATATTGTTTGACTTTCAGTCTTCAGACAGCTTGTACTAATACATTGTTATATGTCATCTACATTGCTCAAGGCTTCTGTTTTATTTGTATTACTTCCCAGACGCCAACCCATTTTCAACTAGCACCAACTCTTGAACCAGCAGGGTTTTCTAATAAACCTGGTGTCCACCTGAAGGAAACATCTTACTAAGACAGCTAGAAGGAAGCTTTGTATATTTTTCTGATTTCTCTATCAATCTCCTTGACCATACACATGGATGAGTAACTGGCTCACAAGTGTATACTGTTGCTAATTTCTGTAGATACAGCAGACATCTATTTCAGTGGAAAGAATAAAGCTTTTGACTGACATGGGACTTGGAGGAGAAAGAACAATGAAAGACAGGGCGACTGCCTGAAGTGCAGGAGCTAAAAGCTTTTTCCTTCACAACAAGAGCAGAATCAGGTAATAATTGCGGTTGCCACGGAGATAGGGAACTTGAGGGATCAAAGAGTTCAATCGGCAGTTAAATGGGTTGGAAACAACTCCCCACCAGCTTGAGAAAGAAAAGGGATAAAAATATACATGAAACCCAGAGGGGGCTTTTTCGTAGCACACAATACATTCCCCTACCTTCCTAAATAATGGACCAACCCTGTTCAGTTTGTTCTCTGATAGTAGCCCTGGAATACCAAGGGACTGGTAACTACTACGTAAAGTAGGAGCTCAGCCCATTTCCTTACACATCTAGAGAGTCTAAAATTAGTCTCTATTCACAGAAAAAAATTATGGGAAATTTCTTAGGAGTTTCAGTATTTTCTTTCTGAAAGGGAAAGAGAAGGCCTCATTATCACTAGTAACCTTCGACCCTCCCCTTAAAATTCTCCACTATCTTTAAGCCCCATTATAATTACACTGAATAGATCAACAATTTCAAATGAAATTTTGAAATGCCTCTCTCGATGGTAGACAGTATGTTGTACAGTGCTATTGATTAAAAAATTGCATTCCCCCACCCAAAAGAAAACATTTCATATTCATTTGAACAGAAAACTGAATTCTCAATTCCCACTCTTGGGGACAAATCCTACTACTTTAAAATAGATAACTATACTTTATTATGAAGGAAAATTGAGGAAAATGTACTGAACTGATGAAAGTTTATCTGAGCCTGCATGACTATACATGAATCAATGCTACAGACTGGTCCCATTTCACTGAGGAGTCAGCAGTTCCAGTGGAAGATCCAATCAGTGCCAAAAGTGGGATGAACTGATATTAAAGTTATCAATTAATTTTTTAAAACAATGTTATTTGCTGTAATTCAATCCATAGTGCCTCAATTCTATTGTATTCTCTTACCTTTCATAGCTGTCACTCTTTTAATAAGAGGTGAGGTAAGAATGTAAATTGTACTGTCCATAATTAGAGCCCTGCGCGGATACAAAAATGTGTATCCACACATGATACACAAAAATTGTCTGCCGGTATCTGCATCTGCAGAGCAGTGACCAGTGGTGCCGGAACCGGGGGGGCCAGGGCACTCCCACTTTTCACCAGGGCAGACCGTGCCCCCTTCACTTCTTCCCCCCAAGAAGAGGGTGAGCCCAGCTGGGGAACCTGGGCAGCAGTGGGGGCGCCACAATGGACCCTCGACCTGCCTGCGGTAGTGGTTGGGGGCGCTAAGAGCAGCCCCCGGCCTGGGCCCCAACCCCCAGATTCCCCACCTGGCTATGGGCAGGTAGAGGGTCTGCAACTCTGCACCAGCTCCCCATGCGGCTCTCCTCGACCCGGCTGCGGCCAGGGTGGAGGGGCCTTGGAGCTGCAGCCCAGCGATGGTAAGAGCGGAGCCGGCGTGGAGTTGCAGACTCTCTACCTGCCCGGGGTGGGGACACGGGCCGGGGGCTGCTTGGGCCCCCAACCCAGGGCAGGTGGAGGGTCCACCGCAGCTCCCTACAGCTGCCCGCCCGGCTCTTATCATGGCCAGGCTGCGGCTCTGAGGCCCCCACTGCCAGCCGGAGCCAGATCGAGGAGAGCCACGTGGGCAGTTGTGGGGAGCCTGGGTCCCTCCACCTGCCCTGGGCAGGAGACCTGGGGGGCAGGTAGGGGGCTGCTTTTGATCCCATGCCATACTGGGCAGGAGGGCAGGCTCCTCGCCCCCCCCCTTTTGGGCTCCGGTGCCCTTCGAAGTGATGCAGGGCTGTACCAAGCCCCCAACCACCCCTCACTTCTCCCAGAGACCGCCTGCCCCACCGCCTGCTCTGTCCCCACCATACCTCGTCCCCCATTCTGGGTAGGAAGGCTACACTCCTGGACTCTTGTGTGCTGCGCCACCCTCCGGGGTGTGTGGGGGGAAGCTCAGACACCACTAGGCAGCTGCGGGGGCAGTAATGCATGCAGACCAGGCCCAGACAGAGAGCGTCAATAACTACTCTCCCCCTCATAGCATGGGCCCTTGCCACCTGCTAGGTTATTTCTTTTAAAATGGCGCTGGGCTCACTCCCTTCTAGGAGTTGTAGTTTATCTCCTCCGTCAAAGCAAGCTGGGGACTACAACTCTGAGAATGCCCAGTGGGCTATACCCGCTGCTTCGCAATTCAGAGAGCTGAGCTGGAGCCTGGGGGCTGGGTGACAGCCGCAGCTGCTCCATTCTGGTGAATCTGTTATGGTCAGAGCCCTGTGTGGATACAAAATTTGTATCTGCATCTGAGCGGCTATCCGCAAAAATAGTCCATGGATATAAAGCAGATACCACCCACGGATTTGCAGGGCTCTATCCATAATTCTGTTTTCTCTCTATAAACGTTAGCACCTAAAAGGTCCACAGAGAGAAAAGATGACTGAGGAGCAGAGACTGACAAAAGACAGCAGGGGGTTCTGCAAAGCTTTGTGAAATAACTAAATCCAATACCTTTGTGAGTGCTGTAAAGGGCTGCAAATGTCACCATGAAGAAGGTGGTGGAGTATTTGCCAGCATTAACCAGATGAGGAAAGGCCCGTTTGGTGTCACGGTAACGGCGCAGGCACTGGATAAAACGCAACCAAGCAGGGATGCACTGGACAACTGCTCGCACTCCGTAGGAGTAGCTGTAACAAATCTGACCATCTACAAGAGAAGAGATGTTTCAGTGGACATGGAAACAAAACATTTAATTCTTCTCTCATTCCCTTCCAAATGTCTCACTTCCTCTACCTTCCTTGAAGAGATGAGTGAAACTAAGCTTTTGGAAGCAGCAACTGTAATATCCTAAGCAATGGTACAATTTGCTTTGCATTTGCATCTATATTTAGCATCTCAACATTTTCAATCCCACGACCAGGTGTGTCAGTCAAACCCCTTTACTTCAATAACAGGAGCAATCACTGCTAGGCTTTAAAGAGACACAGCTTAAACAACACACTCCAGTCAGAAAATTTTAAAAACCTAGTATTGTTACACATAGCAACTAAGATTACTATCAATGAAAGCACAGGGGGAAAAATATTGTTTTATTTTATTTACTTTGTACATTTGATAGCACCGTGTATACTCAATTTCAGTGTTTCTCCTGTTTGTGTGGATCTCTCCATGCAGGAGCATATGAAAGAGAGGAAAAAATTACAAAAAGGCTACACTGAATTTTAGACACATATAGAAAGGTGTTCCCACAAAACCACCAAACTCAGCAGGGGAACTCGAGGGGATGTACAGTACCTGAAATAACTTGACTCTTGTTTTTAAATGGCCAGATTTCAAGTTGAATGTGTCCCTTCAATTATAACCATCAACCGATTTGAGTTTGTCTCCTATTATTGTCACCTTACCAATTAGCATAAGAAAATCCCATTTTTACGGGTGCAATGATTTATGCCAATAAGTAATGGGGAAAAGGCAGGAAAAGCCACGAGTTTAGTGGTAAATTCCAAAGTCTGTTACATTCTTACACATGTCCATATCTAGTCCCTTATGGCTTGATTTCCAAAATGTGCTCAGCACACCTGAAAAACATCAGGTCATCAATATACAGAATTTGTTCATTCCCTCAGATCAATTAATATTTATTCCAGGGGAACTGTGTTCTTATTCCACTTTTTGGTTTGATGCAGAAAATTTTAATATACACAGTTTATTGTTTTAAACAGTTTAATTTAATTCCAACTAATGCTTACAGGGAACAGACCCTTAGAATGCAGCCTTAATACAACTGGGTGGAAGGTTCTGAGGTAGGCAAGACTGGAAGAATAGAAAGTAATGCTGATGCACACAGAAAGCAGGTTTCAAGTTCTCTCAATACATGTTAAAGGCTCATTGACAAGATGATTTGTCAGTGGTTGCTGGTTAAAATGGAAAGACAATGACCGTGGACTGGTCCTGAGGCATAAGATAACGTTTTGCCATGGGGAAGACCAGAGTTAAAATTCAGATATCATCTCTTGCTCTCCAAGCTGGAAATGATGTGGAGGCAGTGTGCATAGCCCTTGTCTCTCTCAATGTCAACTGTAATTGAATAATGAATGGCACCAATGAGGTCTGAGGAAGTTCCTGCCATTCCCTCCAGAAGAAAAGACAACATTGAAACATAGGACCTGGAAGAAATAGCCTGGAAAGCACAGATAAAACAGAGAGGAACCCACGTGAGTGTATTAGGAATATGGAAGACCCTCAGGAGAAGAGCCCTTAGGGGAAAAAATCCTCATGAGAATATTTCCCCATAAGCTCTGAATTCTTGGTAGTCGGCTTTGTACTGCTTCTATGAATCACTAACACTAAGCAGCAACAAAAGGCTAAGTGTGATTGCATTGCTGGAAAGGAGTCTGAAAAACTGCCAGCCAAGCCTGGAAAATTGCTGCATCTTTCCTCTGCCAAAGAACACCTCAAAATCTTGGCAAACAAGTTCTTAAATACACAGGTCATGCCAGTCACAGCAGCAGGTTATACCAGACGAATGGATTGGTAAATAGGGCAGTAAGGGATGGGAGAATAAAATCTCAAGGGCTGTGCCTAGAAGGAACACCAATTATGATGGGATGAGTTTCCTATGTTATTGGGAGAATTTTTGCTAAAAGACAGTAAGATGCCTATTGAAATTTTCAGTTCGTATCAATGTTCCTGGACTTATTGGGCAAAGTGTTCATACATATTTGTTACCATCTCATCTTCATCACTACTATACCTGTTTCTGGCAACAGTCCGACACTGTTGTCCCACTGGAGCTCAAAGCTGTAGAAACAGATCATGTATTCCAGGTCCATAAGTATCACAGCCAAGCTGTTGAGCTGATCGGCCAGCCAGAAATCTGCGAAGCCTACCTTATGGAAGGGGGCTGTGAACACCCGGAACTGGGAATTAAAACAGCATGGAGTTAGCATGAAAGATATTAATAGAGCAGACTGACAGTATAGTGGCGGGAGATGAGACTGTGCTGAATTAACATGAAATATCACACTGCTCCCCCCAAAAATCTGCCATTTCATTACTCCTCCTGGCAGTAGAACTTCCCCTTCACTCACAAGAACTGAGCACAACATTTCCTCTTTCAGACATCCATTTCTTCCCTTGTGTTCAGTTATTCACAGCCTTTCCCTTCTGGCTGGCCTGAGTTTTTTAATCTCTTCAAAGCGAGAGCCAAAATTCTCCAAAGAAACTCACAATCCTCACTTAAGAGTGTGCTACGTAACCAATCTTTCCCAATCTATGACATTGACAATAGCTTCTGACCTCTCCTCCCCAGCATTTCCACCATAACCACTTGCACATCTTAGCATGCTTCTTCCCCATTCCACACCTGACACCCACTAGGTCCTGGATCACCATCTTGGCCTCTAATCTGACCTTGACTCAGATTTGTACACCAAACCCTAAGACCATGTGTCTCCAATGTTCAACCTTAATGTAGGGCCCCAAAATCCCTCAAGAGTTTAAAGGGTTAAATTAAAAAAGCAGAGGAAATTTTAACTGTCAAATATTAATCAGACTCCCTCTCCATCCCAGCCCACTTTCCCTCCAAGGCTGGACAGCAGTTACACTCCTTTCAAAGCAGGCAATGTTCATGCTCCATTACCTTTGATTACAACTGGCCCTGACTGGTTAGTTATAGTAACTAAAAGATAACACCAGCATTGTCCTGCAGTTCAGACATTTATGAAGCTTTCTATTAAGGAAACATTGGGTAAAACTAATCTGTAGAGAAGTAGAAGGTTTCTACTATTAATATGCAGGGTAGACACTGAAAGAAAATAGTTATAAGAACACAGCACATCAGGGCTGTGCTCAAGTCTCTCCACTGGCTCCCAGTTAGTTTCTGATGCTAGTTTAAGACTTTGGTCCTAATCTTAAAAGCAATTCATGGATCAAGCCACAGCTACATTAAAGACTACATTTCAGTGTGTGAACCAGAGAGACAGCTGTGTTCCTCTAGGACAATGCACATCACAAAGCCCAAGATGAAGCACACGAGAGTTAGGGACAAAATGTTCTCAGTTGAGGGGTTCAGCTATATAACAAGCTTCCAAAGGACATCAGGGAAATCTAAAGTCTAACAGTAATTAAGGAACACTGCAAAACCTCTCTTCAAAAAGACCTTTCCACCATAAAAATGACACTCAACACTGACATCACCTTCTACACAACAAATCCCAACCAAAAAATTGCTGAAACAAGTCAACCTAAAAACCAAACATCTAAACAATCAAAATCAAAGCCCTTATCTCAAGTAGTGTTTTTATCCCAAAGAGGGGGAAGAGAGAGAGAGAGAGACTTTATGAAGTCCACTAGGAACTTTGCTATTGCTTTTACATGGAAGGTGCTCAGTTACTATGGGGATGGACGTCAGTATAAAAACCTAAGATAGGTAGATACAACAATGGACTAAAATACTCCATCTAAAGTTTACAGCAGACAGAGTGACCAGGCACGTATTTTAAACCTACAGGAGGGCACTAGTACTCTAATCACGTATACCGGGAATTGAATCATCACTTTCAATATAATCCACCCTTAGGAGGATGGCCAAATCCCAACTGTCTGTGGTTCCCAACTGCTTCTGTGCTGTTTACATCCTACTCCCACACCCCAATGTGTTTCCTTTTTGCTACTCCACTGAACAGTGCACACTTTGGTATGCAGTTCTGTCTGGAATACTGCTCATGTGCAATAGCCCAGACCCCACTGTACCAATGCCTACACAGTTCAATAGCGAGGCATGCAGAGAGCACACTGGAGCCTAAGAAGGAAGCAGCGGAGTCCCAAGTACACGATCAGGTTTGGGAGAGAAGGTGCCAGTGGTACAGGGAGAGGTCAGAGTTTACAGTGTGGTTACAAGTGGGCTGTTCCCAGTGACAAGTACCACCAACCAAATCCACCTTCGCAGCTGCCAAAACTCTGCCACATTTACCGAGCCAGACCCCAGAGCCAACAAAACCTGTCTCTGACAACATTAAGTAATATTTTCTTGCTTAAAATATTAAGAATGAGACCTGAATTTTAGTTTCAAATATTTGGTCACCATTGTGACTGGACCATGTCCCAACTGGGGTGAATATGGGCATTCTGGAGCTGACAACTGTAGTTTTAGTAAGTGCTGAAGCAGTGGATGTTTAATCCACCTGTAAACTCCTGCTAGATTTCTACATTGCAAAACCAGGTGCATCCTGGGCTTGCTTATCCAGCATGGCACTGAACAGCAAAGACTATTTACCTTTCAGTGATTGTGATTCTTTAAGATGTGTTGCACATGCATTCTACCTTTGGAGCACCTATGCCCCACTGCGGTTGAGTATTGATTCTTTTTGGCTAGCAGCTTCTGTTGGGGCTGCGCCTGCACCATAAGTGTCTTTGTGCCCCCTACCCAAGGGCATAAACAGCGGAGTGGGCCTAATTGCTCCTCACTTCCTTCGTCAATACAGAATCCCATAGGAATAGGACTCTGCGTTAGCAGGGAAGGAGGGCAGATCATGGAATCCATGGAAACAACTCACCTCAAAGAACCGCAGTTACCGTAATTTAAGTAACTGTTCTCTCTTCAAGTGATTGCCCACACTGATTTCATTCTTAGTGACTAACAAGCAGCTGTCTGTTTGCATGGAGTTGGGTACAAGGAGTCTTTCTTGACTGTTAACTGCAGGGCAGCCTTACCAAAATTGGCATCTGATCTGGAGGCCTGTGCTAGGGAATACTGATTGGTAAATGGGTGGATCGAGCACCACATCGCTGCTGTACATATCTCAGGTAAGCTGCTCGAGCCCTAGCAGAATGAGCCCTAATATGGCCGGGGGGATCTTTCCTGGATAACTCATAAAATATTCTTATGGGGTCAGAGACCCACTTTGATAATATCTGGGTGGACACAGATTGCCCCTAACAGCTATTCTTTTATGTGGTCTGCCTGCTTTTTGGCCTTACATACAGTTAAATGTACTGTATTATTTTGCACCATTAAGGTCACCTTGCATTTTGTTGAGCCATCTCTCCCTAAGAGACCTCAAGCCTGCAGGTGTCAGTTCACTATGCCTTACTGAGTTCAAAGCCAACGTGCTATTCTACACAAAGTTTTTGTTCTTTCACTATATCAGTTTAGACATAGAGATGATTAAATCACTGCAACCTCTAGCATGGATACAGGTATAGCCATATAAAGATGCTTATAACATATAGCTAATAAATTGCCTAGGGAGGTTGTGGAATCTCCATCATTGGGGAATTTTAAGAGTAGGTTGGACAAACACCTGTAAAGGATAGTCTAGATAATACTTAGTCCTGCCTTGAGTGCAGGGGACTGGACTAGATGACCTCTCAAGGTCCCTTCCAGTGCTATGATTCTAATTTCTATAAATTTAGACAGAAATAAAGAAGTAAGCTAGTCTGACATAAGTGCCATACTAATGTCACTGTTCACACTAGGAGTGGATTATATCACAATCTGTTTCTAAACGGATATAGTGAAAGCGGTAGAAAAGCTGTGTATACCAGCCCAGAGAGTAATCCAAAGGCACAGAATATACTCGATGAACCTAATGAAATACATAGTTTTGAATTTGTACCCAAGATAAATAAATGGGGAACCGTGTCTATTGTTAGCGTCAAAATGGGCAGAGTAGAGAAAGTGCAATGAGATTTGTGTATGAAAAACCTTTTGTATAAGTGGCTTCTCTCCAAAGTTTCCAAGAAACAGGCCTTCAGATTCAAATTACTCACAAGGGAAAGCTTTTCTGATTCAAGTAGATGTGTCAACCTCCGAGGTTTCATACAAAGAAAACTATTAACTAGATTGCACCTGTGAACTCCAGTTATTGCAGTAATGATTGCAGAAGTTGCTTTTTTATATTTTAATGGTTTTGCAAGCTCAACTCATTTCATTATTGTGTTACCTCCGCCTGCCACCATCACTCCCAATGTACTCCATCAACTAGTCTTTGCTCATTAACATACACACAGCAGTTGTAATGCTTAATGTCAAGCACAATATGCAATCTGTCTGCTAATAAGCTGTGCAGGTAACCTGCCATGCATGAATCAGAGCTTGTTATTTCAGTGATGGAGTACTACGGGGGGGAGGGGAGGGGAGTCTCATTTACTACCTTATGGACACAACTGTATGGGGTCCTTTGACTTTGATGAATAATCAGCAGCAAAATGCAGAATTTCCAAAGCTGCTGCTGTTGTGAAGACATTGAGTGCTTCCTTTCTAGCTCTATCATGCCAATATGTTTCACTGTGCCTGTGCTAGTGGTGCCACAATAATGCTATAATTGTGAGATTGTGCCCACACAATCACTCCACACAGAAATGAAACGGATTATAGTTCCTTTTAAGGAAAAAAGTGTTGTATTCCCCTTAAGAATTAATATTGGTCTGGAAAACCCCACCTTTGTGTCAGAGTGAAATGTAAGTAGTTTATGTTGCAGAGCATCTGGAGGCGGGAGATGTCTTCTGCTCCTCAATGGAAGGCAGAAACTGAACCAGGATGAACCTCAATAACTCCCTGCTAATTTGTTTCCAATGGGATGGAGGTGTGGTAGGGGGAGGCTGGGAACTTGCCTGGCTTCCCTCAGGACAAGGTGGTAATAATATGGGTGGCCAGGCAAGGGGCTGAAGAAAGGAGGGGAGGAGAAAGGAGCAGGACTGCATCTGAAAAAGCACCCATGAGTAGGAGAGATAGTGATTTGTTGAATGATGAAAGGGCAAAGGAAAAGAAGGGAGCACAAAAGGAACAGAGACTCAGCATGTTAAAACTATTAGAAAGTTGAACCTTTAAAGATTAAATAAGATGTATATAAACAAAATGTGTACACACTTATATGTATACTTGTATATGTATATGCATGTTCATGCTGAAGACCAATTTTATGTCTTACCTTTGAATTGTTCCAGATTGCACCAATTAAAAAATATTTAGCAAGTGTTAGCAAAATAATTCCATAGAGGAGGATACTCCAGGACCCACCTACAAGGCCTTAATCCTCCCTCCTGCAAATCACTCAGTAATTTTACAGTGAAAATTGAGCAAACAATTATTTAGCCAGAAAATTTCAGGTCTTCTAAGAAGCCCAGACAGAATCCAAGCCTTCACAGAAGTAACAGTAAGAGTGAAAAGGTGAAGGAATCAATCTGATTAAAATTAATGTAAATTAAAGGGTGCATGGGCATATGGAGGGGCGGCAGGTGTATGCATTTTGGGAAAAATTGGTAAGATATCTCTGGGTCAAGACAGCTGAAAACTACTGCTTTGGTGTTTACATTTATAATCTTAATACTTCATTAGCATGTGTTTCCATTCATTTCTTCTGACTTTTGTTACCAGGGAAACAATAGCCAAGATTAAAATATTAATCTCTCTCATTCAGAACAAGTATAGAAAAGAAATGTTGAAGAAGTAGTGGCGACTAGTATTTTAAAACGAAAGTAACCTCAGCTATAGTCTGCTACCCATGAATACTCTATTTGAGTATTGGCCCACTTTCAGTTTGGGCAAACAGCATTCTGTCAGCTTTGCTTTGTAGCCCTTTGTAATCTTACCCAAACTGCTTTGCTAAAGAAGAGATACAGTGAGCATGGCTGAGTCATGAGGAAAACTATATGGTGCATTTGTTTGTGCATGCATACACCACATATGCTTATTTTTGTATGTGTGAACATTTGTGTGTACATACTCTTGGTATGAAGAACATAACAGAAATAGTACAGACTGAAAGTAACTTCTATGCTCAACAAATACACACATCTAATTCTTTATGCATGGACTTGCTTGAGTATTATGAATCAAAGCATGCATAAAATTGTGTGGCATACACTCCCAAGTCTGAAAACTAGTGATGTATTTGCACACACTTCAACTACTTGAGTTCAATTACCCACACCAGTTTCTCTTGAGTTTGTACCAGGTTCCAGACTTACCAAAAGTTTAAGCAGCCAAAACCGGGACTTGTAGTACAAGGTTTTGGTGGGGTTGATGAGGAAAAGCAACATGAATCCATACAAGATGAGTGGATTCACCTGCATAGGGACATGGGTGAATTTGCCATATATACATGCCAGCAGGCTCAGGCACCACAACATCCCAAGGAATCCAGCAATCTAATAAAAGATGGAGGAGAGAAACAAAGTTATACACCTGATGACTTAAGACAATTCTGAATTCCATACTATAGAACCCAAGGAAGAGCTGCTTTCATCACTATAATCAAATCAGTAACCTCCTTTTCTTGACTTAAGAATATAAGAACAGCCTACAAGGTCAGACCAAAGGTTCATCTAGACCAGTATCCTGTCTTCTGACAGTGGCCAATGCCAGGTGCTCCAGAGGGAATGAATAGAACAGGTAATCATCAAGTGATCCATCCGCTGTCGCCCATTTTCAGCTTCTGGCAAACAGAGGCTAGACACACCATCCCTGTCCATCCTGGCTAATAGCCATTGATGGACCTATCCTCCGTGAATTTATCTAGTTCTTTTTTGAACCCTGTTATAGTCTTGCCCTTCACAACTTCTCTGGCAAAAAATTCCACAGCTTGACTGTGCGTTGGGTGAAGAAACACTTCCTTTTGTTTGTTTGAAACCTGCTGCCTATTAATTTCATTTGGTGACCCCAGTTCCTGTGTTATGAGAAGGTGTAAGTAACACTTCCTTATTTAATTTCTCCACACCAGACATGATTTTGTAGACCTCATTCATATCCCCCTTTAGTTGTGTCTTTTCCAAGCTGAAAAGTCCCAGTCTTATTAATCTCTCCTCATATGGAGGCTGCTCCAAACCTCTAATAGTTTTTGTTGGCCTTTCCTGAACCTTTTCTCAATAGTTATGTTACAATTCATTCCAAGGAAACAGGACGATTTATTCTGCTGTCGCTTAAAATGCACAGTGGCTCCTGTGGCTTTGTCAAGGCTGAATCCCCACTCTGTCACTCCGAGTGCAGAAGGTGGGGGCCTGCAAGGATTCTAAAAATTAATACTTGCCACTCTCCAGGCTTGTATTAACCTCCCAAGATTACAGCTTTTCTCTGATCTTGGCTTGGTAAATGCTGCCACCACCCAAATGCAAAAAAAACCCCTTGGACCCAGGAAGGAGCACTTGGGAATTCCTCCCTGTGGGATACCCATGAGTCCTTTCACCCTCCCCCCGGGAAGAGCTGAGAAAGAAAACAAAGGAAATTAGCTGTGGCTACCAGCTAATGAAACAACATTCACAAACCAATCCTGTTCTTAAAAAAGGTAAATTTTATTAAAAACAAAAAGGAAAACAATACATCTGGAACTTAGGCTTTTGCTAGATTTTAAAAGAGCAATTCCAAAAATCAATCACCCAAAATAGCTTTCTTGGGGGTTCAGCTTAAAGGTTACAAGCAAACAAAAGCATCAGGGGTTAGCACAGAGGAGATCCACAAGCCAAAATAAGAAATAAACCTGATTGTGTCTAACTAAATATTCCCTATTCAAATAATTTCTTCTAGGTATGGAAGATGAATTTTTATACCTGGTTCAAGCCTTACACAGCATTTCTGCTTATAGCATTGCTGCTCCATCCCCTGCAGCCCAGAGAACAACAGACAAAAGGAAAGTTTCTTTCCCAATTTTAAAAAGTTCTACCTTCCCATTGGCTCTTTTGGTCAGGTGCCCACTCGTTTCCTTTTACCTGTGGGCTTGTTAACCCTTTACAGGAAAGCAAGCAGAGAACAGACCAAGATGGATTTTACAGCTCACTGGCTGGTTGGGTGTCTGTCAAAGGGAGCTACTCCCCCCCCACTGCATATATTACATGCCCCCCAAATCACAGAAGGTGCTGGCCAGCCTGGTTCAGGTCGGGTGCACATCAACTGGGATTTCTTCCTGGAGGTTTAGGAAACAGAGTTAATAAGATACAGGCACCTCTAACTTTACTAATAATTACACGAAGAACTAAACAGTTCTTTTTACATTGTACTTTTTACATTTCAAGGACTACAATGACTTAGAATGCAGAGACATTTTTACCCAGCTGATTCTGGGAAACCTTCCCGGAAGAGTGCATCAGCCACTTTGTTAGAGGCTCCTGAAATGTGCTGTATTTCAAAATCAAAGTCTTGAATAGCAAAACTCCAGCGAAGAAGTTTTTTGTTAGTCTCTTTGACTGTGTGAAGCCACTTCAGTGCAGCATGGTCAGTCTGGAGGTGGAACCGCCATCCCCAAATGTATGGGCGTAGCTTCTCCAGAGCATACACAATGGCGTAACATTCTTTTTCTGAGACTGACCAGTGTCTTTACCTCTCTGAAAGTTTTTTGCTGAGAAACACAACAGGATGGAATTGTTGATCTGGTCCTTCCTGCATTAAAACTGCTCCCAGACCATGCTCGGATGCATCTGTGGTTACAATGAATGGTTGGTTGAAGTTCTACCTTCCTATTGGCTCCTTTGGTCAAGTGCCCACTCCTTTTCTTTTACCTGTGGGCTTGTTAACCCTTTACAGGTAAAGCAAGCAGAGAACAGACCAAGATGGATTTTACAGCTAACTGGCTGGCTGGGTGTCCATCAAAGGGAGCTATTCCCCCCTCTTCATATATCACAGGCTTGTTCTGCTTACCTCAAAGAGATGCTGATGGGACAAATTGCTGCGGGGATTGAGTTCAAAGATAAGGACATGATTCACTCCAGCATGCCTCCAGCCATACGTATTGATGCCCAGGAGGAAGAGGAATTCTATCAGGAGAAAGCCACCTCGATAGATTCTCACCAGTGGCCACACATTTGGTCCATTTATAAAAAACACACCTGACAGAGAGAAAATAAGTGCTTAATGATATAATACATGCCATGTTGCAGGCCAAAACAATTCTCTGCTTCTTTATGCTGATCCTAAGGTAAACAGCAGATAATATACATACCCACAAGAAAAGGGTAGTACTCTTAATCCAGAGCCTCATATTCTAGCTATTAGAACACAGTGGAGAACCAGGACTCTTTGCCCTAAATCCAGATTGAAGTTCTGACTTGCTTTTTTCTTGGGGATGGGAGAAAATCTGTCACTTGACCTCAGCCAAACAAGAGAAGTTGCATGTGGTGGTCTGAGTTTCCTCTTTTTGGCCAAATGATCAAAGTTAAACTTTATTTGGTATTAAACATTACACCCGTTTTCCCAAGCCTCACCTCATAAGTAAAATTTAAGATGGTCAAACATCAGGGATTCATAGATTATTAAACCAGAAGAAATCACTGATCATCTAATATAACTCCTACTGAATAGCACAGGTCATAGGACTTCCCTAAATTTATTCCTGTTTGATCTAGAGCATATATCTTTTAGAAAAAAAAAATCCAATCTTAGGTTTCCAGTGACGGAGAATCCACCACAATCCTCGGTAAACTGTCCTCACTGTATTTTAAGTCTCCTTTTATCCCAATTTGCTTCTGCCCCGACCACTTCTGAACATGCCAGTGATTACTAGCTCTACTCCATCTCCCACTCAGGCCACCAGCAACATCCTACTCCCTTATTGGTAGGAGTAATGTGAAACTGAAGCATTGGTACCAGCAGGAATTGTAACTAGAAGAAGCTGAACATTCTTCGAAGTTTGTGGTTAAGCCAAAAAATCTCAAAGCCTCACTTTTTCTCTGCAAATGGAGGCACAAATATTTTAGCCTCAGACCAAGCCAATGAAATACAACACACACTATTTAAACTAGGGATAAACTGGTCTATTCACTACATTCAACACACTGTAGTGAGGTTGGTGAAATGTATATTGCTTCCTTTGTTCAGTCCTACAAGCTTTTGGAGACCCATGTGTTTTTACTGCATCTCAAATGGCAATCAACTCTTTAAACTAGAAGCTTTATCTTTGTCCAGCCCTGGCAGCCTTGTAAAATTTTACCCTCCTGATTGCCCAACGCAAGGTTTCTTACTGACGGGTGAGTTAAATTGTTTTTTTTCCCCAATCAATTTTAGTTTCATTGAATATTCCCATCTCCCTCCTGCCCCTTCCCCTACCCAATCTTTTATTTATTTATTTATTTATTTAAATAGAAAGACTGGACAGGACCACCCAATTTAACTTCTCTGTGTCAATTAATTTTTCCTCCACCACACCCTCTCTTATTCAATTCCTTTCAACTAAATAGCTCCAATCTTTTCAGTCTCTCCATATGAAACTGTCTCTAATCATTTTCATTCATCTGGCTGGCATTCATAGTTTATATTGCTTGGAATTACTGAGAAAGAAATTATGGATAAGAAGGAATTATTCAAATACTGTCCCTTTAAATTTATATCCAAGAGTGATAATGTTAACAGGTTTCAGGTAACACTGAGCCAAATCAGCAGATGTCTAATTAGCATTCAAAAGGATTTCACCAAAAATGTCTTGAAGAGGGTGACAGCTGAGTTAGTTTACGATAGGACAGTGAAAATATACATCTGAACTTTATTTTGAGCTGGGGCATGCAAGATCAGAAGGCTGCTTGCAAATAAAGGGAGGAGACAATTACACATCGAAAGGGACAGAAGGTGGATATCAACCTGTTTACTCTGGGCAAAGCAGACCCAAAAGTATTGAACAGGAAACACTGTGAAGAATGATGATGGAGCATCATGAGAATAAATCCCACTTATAAATTCTTGGTAAAAGGCAAGGACCAGTGGGGATCTTGCCCCACTAGGTGTACCAGAGCTCGGACAGACTACAACTACAGGTGGGAGAATCAACTGACAACTACAGGTGGGAGAGAGTTTGAGGGGTCTATTTGTTAAGTCTTAAAAAAAAAAAAAAAAAAAAAAAACTAAGTGCCTTGCAAAGTTACAACACTGTATAAATAGTGAAAATAATTATGCATCAGTTTTCACCATTATGTTCTATATAATTTCAGTTGGCCTAAGAGTCAGACTCTGCCTGTATTGAAGAAGGGACAACGACAAGTCTGACAACAATCAAGAACAGTTTATTGGAGGTACAACCAAAAACCACTTTCAACCACTTCATTTTCTTTTATTTCCAGTTTTATGGGTGATTCTGGAATGAAGCACTACTAAGACTGGCCTGAACTAGATAGTAGTGTGGGCAGATATGTAAAATCTTCCCTATATTGCTCTGTCAATGCACTCTAACCTTGACCTGCAACTCTATTGTTACTGCACTCCTGACTTCTCGAGAAGAGACAGTCATTTATGGCAAAGTATGTAGCACCAGTACAGATAGAGGTTATGTTCTCACCAATGTAGAAACATTCATATACTTGGGCAGTACCATCAGCCAGGATGGTGGAACAAGCCAGGATATCCAGAACAAAAAAATCAAAGCCAGGAACACCTTCAAGAGCTTAAATACAGTCTGGAAATCATCAAAATACAACACCAAAACCAAACTCAAGATTTATCAGAGCTGCGTACTTTCAACATTACTTTATAGTGAAGAATGCTGGGGAATGAGAAAGTATGACATGTCCAAACTGTCTTCATTCCATACAACCTGCCTCACAAAAGTATCTTTTTGGCCCAGAACAATCTCAAACCAAGATCTATTGACACAGTGCAGCCAAGAGGATATGAGCACCATCATTGCCAGGAGGCACTGGAGATGGATTGGCTATGTCCTTCGGACAGAAACTGATTCCATCACCAGAGTAGCAATAAGATGGACACCTGAAGGCCAGCGAAAATGAGGCCATCCGAAAACAACATGGAGAAGAGCTGTGGAAGCTGAGCTGAAAAACCTGGGGCACAACAGATACGAGTGGAGGAGCTTCGTCGCTGCCCTAAACGACAGAGGTGTAACGTGAACATGATGATGGTGATGATGTAGCACTTTTGTGGTGTATGTAAATGAAGACTAAGCTAAGAACACCATGATAGAGTTTACTTGTTACCCCCATTTTTCTATGGTCAAAGACTGAGTTGAAAGGCTTGCCTTACTAACCTGCTATTCACCTAGCTCTAATACCTCAGGTCAGCCCAATTACTAAAGTCAACAATAACACGGATTTAGCTGTTACACCTTCACCAACTCACACTTGGTAGACAAGTTAAAGCTCTGGTACAAGAGGCATTCAGAGTGTTAACAGATGAGAGGTTTTCTCTGTTCTGATGCCCCCAAGAGGGTCAAAACCTGTTTCAGTTCTATTCAGTTTCTGATATTGCATTTAGATCCATGATGACATGTTGATTTCTCTTACAAATCCTGTTCAAATACACCTCTACCCCAATATAATGCGACCCGATATAACATGAATTCGGATATAACGCGGTAAAGCAGTGCTCGGGGGGGGGGGGGGGGGG